TGAGGACCTGATTTTTGGGAATTTATAGTTACCGATTCAACAAGTTGAACTAACCATTCCATGCCTTGAGCATTTAGCTGTGGAAGCATATTATTATCCTCTTGATGAAGGAGTGGGGGATTCTGGTAAAATGGGGAAATGTTCATTTTGCCAGAAGGTTGAAGGGATTGTTTTTCTTTCTCCGATCATTAACTTGTAGAGAAGTGACCTCATACTCCTTTAATAATTTTTGAGTTGCAATTGATTATTTTCCTTGGGGCTTGGATTTTCTTTTTAATTCTGTATTCAGCATAGTTTGTGTAGGCTCTCTGTGCTTCTTATAAACAAGTGGAATAAGTTTCGGCTCTGGAAATTGTTATGTAGAAAATGTGTTCAGCAAGTGTGATTTGTTTGTTAAAATATTTTTAGAGATGTACTGGAAATTAGTACTCTGGCTGAATCTGGCCCTCTTGGAAAAATTGATATTGGTAATAGAAAGACCGAGATCACACAACTATAGTGGATCTGTAGTTGTAGTCTTCCAGACTAGGATGGTGGTTGAAAGTTGAAACCAGGTTCTCTAGCGACTTCATTGAGTACCATATTTATTGAGCATCATATTTATTTCAATAGAACCAGATATTAATGCAAACCTTCTAGGATGTGTAATGAAGTCCTGTAATTTGCTAATTAAGCACGGGCAGAGCAGAATGGTTCCTGGATTAGGAACAGGGCAGATGATGAAATATATTTGGAAAGCATCAAATCTTTGCAACTTTAGCATAATGTGATTCTCTACTGTTTTTTTTTTTTTTAATCAAGGCGGTTGTTTGTCCCCCCACCCTAATGGCGATGTATTCAACAGATTATGATTTATGGCTAGAAGATCTAGATTAGTTGGAGAAAGAGAAAATTGTTGAGCTTAAGTAATAATGAAAAGTGCAATATCATCACAGCAGAAATCTTGAAATCTTATATACACAAAATCTAATCTCACTGCCATGCCCAATGACTTCATATTGCCTCAAATATTATTTCAAATATATAACTGCGGAATGTGGAATTGTTGTCCCATTCATGATATGTGGCCAAACTGCTTGATTTGATCTTGATTTTGATCATCCTCTCTCGTGACAGCAGTACTCTTGCCAATTCATCTTTGTAGTAGGTTATTTTCTATGACTAATACTGGCAAGTAGCTCAAGTTATATATTTACTCGCTCACCACATATATTTGTGTTATACAAATTGATGGTTTTGTTCCTTGCAGGTACCGTGCCATCACCAGCGCATACTATCGGGGGGCCGTAGGTGCACTTCTTGTGTATGACGTCACACGCCATGCAACATTCGAGAATGTCGACAGATGGCTTAAAGAACTGCGAAACCACACAGATTCCAACATTGTTGTGCTTGTTGGGAACAAATCTGATCGTCGTCCCTTGTAGCTGTTCAACTGAAGATGGGAAATCTTATGCTGAGAAGGAATCATTGTACTTCATAGAAACCTCAGCTCTTGAGTCCACGAATGTGGAGAATGCAATGCATTTGCTGAAGTTCTGACTCAAATCTACCGAATGTTAGCAGGAAGGCGGTTGAGACTGCAGAAAATGGAACCACTACTGTGCCACCCAAGGGAGAAAAAGTAGATCTTAAAAATGATGTGTCTGCCCTTGAAGAAAGTTTGGTTGTTGCTCTAGCTAGCCAGCCTGGAAGACAGAATTCTGTTTTCTTGGTTGTTGTTGGTTCCCTTGTACGTTTAGTATTATAGTATAAAAACAATGTTTCATGTTCAATACGTGCTAGGGAAGCAAGTTTGATTATCATTGTTTTTTTTTAAATTAGTTATTAGTTATTAATTTATTAATATTATCATTGTTTCTGAGATGTTAACACTAGCTAAATTTCAAGCTTGGAATGAATTGAATATAGAGTTGGCAAAAGACAAAAATATCTACAAAATTGTCTCTGACAGTACCCAACAACATAAAATGGAAAAAGGGATAAAATACTTTTGACGTTATTTTAGCAAGTATAATAATAATCAATTCTTCAAATTCTTATGTCTATTATTTTGTGGTGTTAAATGCTTGATTGATTTGCCACTTGTTAGACTTACCTATTCAACTTATACCATGCATACACCATAGCACTGCCGACACACGTCTATTGCAAAGTAACCCCCCACCACACCAAAGATGGCACTGCCATCACCATTGGAAGCGGGACCTATCGACCCACCCTCTGAGGGCTCATATCCCTCACCAAGGGCTACCACAGTGAACGTGAAGAATTTGTAACACAGCTTCAAGCAATGCTGTGGTAAGGCGGAGAAGCCCTTAACACCTTGAATCACCATGTTTTTGTACATGAGAGCATATAGTGCTTTGTATTCTCTGCTAAAATTTCCCACATCGAAGACCTTGCAAAACAGGAAGAAACATAGAGGAGCCACCACACACTTGATCAATGTGCCTATGGCTTGTGTTAGGAGCATTGATCGAGGACACGTGAAGGTAAGGTGTCCAGTTTTGAAGTTGTGCATTAGATCTAATGATATGGAGACCATTGATTGATGAGGTAGCACTTGATGAGTCTAGTGACAATAGTGTCATTTTTGCTAGACATGGTGGCGAGGATGAAGAGATCCACCTTGCCATAGTTGTAGGTCATGTTGATGTCGGTTAAGCCAGCATCGTAAGAGTTGTAGAAGCCGAGGGCATGGGCGAGGATGTGGGCGACAATGAAGAATATGTATGTTGTGCAGGCCATGGTGGAGATAACAACGAAGAATATGTATGTTGACTAGTCTTATAAGAGGGATGATTTTCTTTTTTTTTCTTTTACTTTTTGGCCAACGATTGGACGATGTTCTAAATGCAAGAGAAGTAATTTGAGAGAGCTGAGCGGGGCGATCATGATTTTTAATACTTTTGTAGTCAAAGTAAGTTTAGACAATCACCAAACACAGCCATAGGATGATTTGAATGAAATGTTCTGTTCTTAAGAGAAAGCATTCCAATATGGGTGGCCTGCACAACATACATATTCTTCGTTGTTATCTCCACCATCGCTGTCCCTCCCACGTTCCCTTAATAGGTGGCAAACTAACTAAACATTTAACACCACAAATTAATAGATGTTTCATGGATTTAACAGATCAGTTACTGTTTTGTTAGAGGTATTTTTGCTATTTTGCTCACTTTAAGTCATTGAGTGTTTTTTGTAGATGATTTTGTAAGTATTTTTATCCTTTTATCCTATAAAATTCATCAAAGTAGTTCCTCACTGTCGTGGTGGACGTGGTTGAGCTGGGCTAGACAATTAGCGTGTTCATAACCATGCTTGGATGCTCAAAATGCCGTTTACTCAAAAATCACTTGAAAGGCTCTTCTGCCTTAAAAAAAAAACAGAGACTGAAAGACCAGCTACCACTTTTCCAAACACACCAACCTAATATTTGGAATAAAAATAAATCTATTATATTTTTTGAAGTGCATTTTTCATTTTTTAGAAGATATTTTTTCGGGTAACAAACAGGCATTAAATGTTGTATTTTTTAAACCGTGGCATCCCAAATATTCTCATCTTGTAGATCTCCTTTTAGCCCCATTTTTTTTTTTTTAATGGGACTAATCTAATCGTGAAAACGATTTGACTATAGAATCCATATTTTTTTTTTGATAAGACTATAGAATCCATAATTACTTCCCTCAATTTCTTCTGGTCATCCACTTGACCATTCCCCGTTTTAGAAGATGGAAGTATACTTTAAAAACTAGGCATATTTCTCCATGTATTTCATAAATTTTAATACATAAGTTGAACTATTTATGTTGGTAAAAAAAAAAGTTGAACTATTTATAACTTGTAAAACTTATAAAAAGTTTATGCTCCCTCTGTTGAAAAATAAATCATTTTTTAAAAAGTTAAATATTAAAAAATATAAGATATTTTTAATTTTTTAATGTGTAATCATTATTTTTTTAAAAAAAATAGTCATGTTGAATCAATCATTTATAGGGTAAAACACCATATTAAATAATGATAAACATGAAAAGATAGTTATTTTGAAGATAAGTAACTATTTTATTGTGGGATTAGATTTAATTAAAAATACCTTATATTTTTGAACGGAAGGAATAATTTGTAAGTAATGTGATTTGCTATAAATTTTATTTTTATATGTATATATGTTTTAATATTGATATGTTAGCGTTAAAGACATTACTAAATATTTTTTAGATTAATTTAATCCTAGCGGATTTTTTCGACGTTGTGTCCGGTAAAAGATTTCATGCATATATTTATAACAAATTTGGTGGGTTCATTAAAAATAAAAAGAAATTTGGTGCGTTAATTTTAACGCGTACCAAACCTTATATTGGGAATTTATTTTTTTAAATAACTCAAAGTAAAAAAAAATTAGAAATTAGTAATCACATGAATAAATATTAGAGTAGAAACATTTAATTATTTTATTCTATAAAATATATTGATTGGTTTAAATGATAAATATAAAGTTGTCTTGAAATTGAAAATAAAAATTACTCTTTCCGTTAAAAAATGTGAGATATTTTTAACCAAATCTTACCTCTAATAAAATATTTATCTATTTTTAAACTAACTCTATCTTTTTATATTTATTCTTGTTAAACATCATATAATAAATATAAATTATTATAAATAAAATATTTTTAAAAACAATAATTATATTTTAAAAAATTAAAAATATTTTTAATATTTAATTTTTTAAAAAATGTTTTTTTTTTTGACGGAGGAATAACACATATTATTAATTATTAATTATTATTATAATATCCTGATGAAACTGTGTCAAAGTATGACACGAGTCCGGACAGAAGCAACCAAAAACAGAAAAGCAACTTCCGTTGCCGGGAATCGAACCCGGGTCTCTCGGGTGAGAGCCGAGTATCCTAACCAACTAGACTACAACGGAGTGTTATACCACGATGCTCACTAATAATTATTTCCACTCAGGAGACTACGAAGGAGAAATCCTCCCGCCTGTATTTCAATTTCCTCCCTCCCATGACGCTCAGCTCAATCCCATTTCACTCACTTGAACTCAGAAGGTGGCAGAAAACCCTAATCGGAGATGAGAGAGGAAGAAATTGAGAAACTTCGAGGTGTTGTGAGGGACTGCGTAAGCAAGCACCTCTACTCTTCCGCCATCTTCTTTGCAGATAAGGTCGCCGCCTTTACCAATGATCCCGCCGATATCTACATGCAGGCTCAGGCCCTCTTCCTCGGCCGCCATTACCGTCGCGCTTTTCACCTCCTCAATGCCTCTAAGATAGTTCTCCGTGATCTCCCGCTTCCGCTACCTCGCTGCCAAGTGTCTAGTAAGTTCCTCTACTCCACATGCTGGTATCAATTCAGTTGTATTTGTGTGATTAGCCTTGTGATAATCTTTTTCCATGTGTTTCCTATGGTCGACATTGCTTACGACTGCTTCTTTGTATTTTCAAATATTCTGAAGTGAGGGTGCAAACATTTTTGAACAGTTCCTTGTCATAAACCGATGAAACAAGGTTGGAACTAGAGGGGAGCTTACTAGGCTATGAAGCATGGACAGGGCATGGCGATACATCAAACACAACGGGCATTGTATGATAGTTCTAAATTAAAACTTCTGTTAATGATGCTTCTGGATAAAATATACAACTGACATTATTCTAATTATCTTATACTAAGACTACCTCTGATTCTTATTTTAAAGACTATTTAGCAACTTCTTGGGTATTAAGAAACTAAGCTAAAGTTTATTACCAAAAAAAAAAGAAAAAAGAAATTAAGTTCAAGTTAGTTAATGTTGTTAAGTTCATCCAAAATTTTAAAAGTTTCCAATCTAGTGGGATAAGGCTTTTTCTTCCTGTTGTTTAAAAAGTTTCCAATCTAAGAAGTACCGATATAGGTATGTGTATCGGTTGTGATACACTATAATATGATGGATACAACAATTTTCAAAATTTTAGGATATGGGTACGATAATATATATATGATATATTTCAACATTTTATGATAATAGGTTAAATATATTGATTTTTAAACAAGTATTTTTAAACTAATATAAGAATATTTGTAATAATCAACCAAAATATTAGAATATGTGATGTGTATCATGAAGTGTCATACGTGTTTCATGTAAATGTCTACTTTTAAGTGTTTTATATTGAGCAGAATAGTAGACCTTGAATGCTCGCAAATAAGTTTCCTGATTATGATAGTCCAATAACTAATAGTCATTTTTCATGGTTGTTTGATGTTTTAATGATTGTTTTATGATTTATTATATCATAAGTTAATGCAATTTGATCAGTTGGGATGGCTTGAGATTTCCTTATTTGGATAAATCCTCTCGGAATTGGGACTAGTCAGTTGTAGTCATTACTTCTTGATTGTTGAGTATTGAATTTTGAGAATTTTTTCTTTGCTTATCGCTTTGTTTCCTTTTCGTCCTACATTAACTAGCTCCAATTTATTTCTTCATGTGATGGATTGCTGGTGCTTCATTTGCAGGAGGAAAATTTCAGATAAATTAGGACAGAAATGTGTGGCATGTGGAAATTTTTTTGGTACATAGCTGAGTAGCTTTGCCATTTGGGAAATTGATTACAGTCTATGTTATTTGTATATGATATATTACTCTTTAAAACCCTTTAAACTTTGATGAGACTGTAGCTATGTTTTGTAGTTGTAGTATTTTACATCTTTATAGCTTTTTAACATATATTACAAATTGCGTATACCATATTAACTTGCTTTCTTAAACAGGAGGAGCTCAAGGAATGGGATCAATGCTTATTAATGCTGGGTGAGGCTAAAGTGGATGAACAAGGCAATGTTTCTGACACAAAGGATTCTAATGTCATGTACTTGGATAAAGATGGTGAAGATCGTGAGATCAATGTGACGTCCTCCCTCTGGGTTACTTTTACCTTGTAAATTGTAATGTTTGGCTATAATCTTTTGCCTTTATGCGTTGTCAAGGATCTTGTGACAATTCTAGTCAATGATGGGAAATTAATTTTTTTTTTTTCATTAATCAAATGCCAAGGGAAACTTCGTATAAAACAGGAAGCATATAAAACTGTAACTTTATAATTAGGGGACTACAATACCATAATATCAATACTATATTCCTGTACTGCCAGTATCTGATACTGATATTATAAGTGGAAAAAGGCACCAAGTGAAAATTAACATTCTAGTGCAACAGGACTATTATTGAGCCTTGTTTCAAGAACTTGCTGGGATACTTCTAAGACTGAATTTTATGGTTTGCCTTTAGGGTTGGAGACCATGAATCCATCTGATGTAGAATCAGCAGGGTATAGGGGAAAATAGCAGGAGAACAGGAGGGGGAAAGATAAAACAGTGATATTATGGTATGAAAATAATAAAAGTCTATGTTATTTAGGTAGTTATTGGTGGTTGAGGATAGTTAAGTCTTCGTGCCTATATTCTAATGTTGTTTTTCTTAACAAGTTCTGAACCTATAAATATCAGGATTACGCCCTCAATTGTAGCTAGCCTATTGACATAACGAAAGTGTACTATTCAGATTAATCTCTCTCTCTCTCCTCTGAATTCTCTTCCTTCTTTCTCAATTCTATTCTATTCTATTTCTCTATTCTACTATCTTTTCTATTTTCCATATCATATTATGTCAATTCTCAAAACTGAAGGAAAATTCTGACATGTTTTGTAGTCCTTGTGGGTAGCATTCTTTTAGTCTTCAAAACATTTACTATTGTCCTGTTTTGGAACCCTTCAAACTTAATTATATGTTTATTTTTCCTCAAACATACAATGAGATACCTTACTGTTGAATATTTGGTTTGCTTTGGAAGTTTTGAACCAAAATGACACTTACTAATGGGTTGTTAAGTTATTTGAATGATTTGTATGTTAAAGTTATAAGTTTTAAATTTGCTATAACAGCCATGCTGTGGTAAAGTCTTCTAACTTTGTATATAGAAATTTGTATTTCTGCAAACTTCTGTGCTTTGCCTAATCTATTTCCATTCTTGCATGCTGGATGATTAGAAATATTGATTAGTTATTGAGGCAACACATCTTATCTGTATGATTAAATCAATAGATAAACTTTTTTTTGCATATTTGGTGTGCAAACATTTATCAAGAAAGGGCTTGAGAACAATACTGTGTTCTTTCCTTCATGCTTCCCACTTACTGGTTAGAAATTCTGTATATTTTCTAATATTTTATATGGTAGCATAATGTAGCTGAGGTTAAATATTGACAATATCTTTATTCATCATGTTTGACTCTGGCTTTTTCTTAGTTTTGCTAGTTTGCTTAGCTCAATGCATTTTTCTGTGCTGTAACAGATATCTTCTGCAATATGTTTCTTAAGAGGCAAAGCACATGAAGCTCTGGAAAACCGTGCCCAGGCTCGATTGTGGTGAGTTCCTTTTGTGACTTATGATTAACTAACTTGGCCCTTTTTTTAACCATACAAGCATTTTTTTTAAAAAAAATATTTTTTTTTTGCTTGCATGAGCAATAGTTGAATTATGATGTGTTTGGATTTAATTAACAGAATTAACATGAAAAGTTCCCTTGTTATTCTCTGTTTTCTTTGGTTGAAGGTACAAAGCTGCTATAAAAGCTGACCCTTTATGCTATGAGGTATGTCTCAATCTTTCCCTTGCTTTTCTATAGTTGATAAGAGTGTATACTGTGTAGTAAATCTACGTTGACTCAACTATTATTACAGCAAAAAATTCATATTTCTGTAATCTGAAGTCGGAAGTGCTGGTAAATTAATAAATCCAATACTTTGTCCTTTCAGCAGAGTTTTTGACTGCTTGAATTTTTTCCTCTTAATGCAATTTTAAAAGCTTCATATTTACCATGTCTCCCTGCTCTCAAGTATCTCAACATATGCATTAGTATCCTAATTTCTTCTGGCTGTTTGGTTATTATGTCAGGCTCTGGAATGTCTTATTGAAAATCACATGCTCACATGTGAGGAGGGTAAAAGCTCTTAACTAATGCATCAGAATCTTCATTCATTGCAAGAAATGTGTAACTTATCTAGTTACAAATTGATTCTTACACTTCTCCCCCTTCCTTTTTCTCTATGCTGAATATCAGAAGCAAATTTGATTTCATCACTGCAATTTGGTAGTGAAGATGGATGGCTTTCTTCATTCTATTCATGCTTGATAAAGAAGGTAACATCTAGGCCATTTTGGATTCAGTGATATTTGAATGTTTTGTATTGTATGTCAATGGATATGAAGGGGGAAAATTATTTTACTTGCCTTTTCTACATTACAATGCATTGTGATGGTTGATTACGATGGTGACTTTGTGAGTGCATGCATACTGATCAAGGCTTCTCTTTTTTTTGTTATGCAGTATGAGAAGGAAAATGTTGTGGAAGCAAAGTTTCGAGACCTTGAGAACACAAGCTGTAAAATTGACCAATCTAATCCTTCTTTCTTGCGTACACTGAAAACCAACACTGACCTATTAGCCTGCAAAGCTGAATACTACCATCAGTGTGGTGAATATCAGAAATGTTTTGAGTTAACATCTGTGTAAGTTTGGGAACTGATTTAGAGACTGGAGACTGAAGTGCAATACAGTTGTGGTTTTTTTTTTTTTTAATAGCTGCTGCTTCTCTTGTCTTTCCACTGCCTCTCTTTCCTAACTGAGTTTCAGCACTGTTACAGTCTGCTTGAGAAGGATCCTTTCCATAACAAGACTACCTTAGTACATCTGGCAGCTGCTATGGAGCTTGGACATTCAAATGAGCTCTATCTGATGGCATGCAATCTGGTGAAGGATTATCCTCAAAAGTAAGTTTTCTTATAGTACTCATTATTTGTTGTCTGCTGTTTCATTTGCTACAAGGACCAGTTATGATTTTTTGTGTTTCAGATTGCTTTTTAATTTACATGAACTCTACTGCAGTTGAGGGAGATATTTCATATTGAATTTCAATGCAGTTTTGATAATTTTGGACGACAACTAGAAGGCTCAGGCATTTTAACAAAAAATGTTACCTAATTGCAGAAGATATCTTTGCTAGATGATGGATCCAAACAGAATATCTAGATCCTTGATAATCTTGAATATTTGGTTGAATTATTTACTTTATTGTGATGGTTACTTGATGTTATTTTAGGGCTTTATCTTGGTTTGCGGTTGGTTGCTATTACTATTGTATCAAGAAGTATGACCAGTCCCGTCGATATTTCAGGTACACATAGCTTGTTATCACAGTAGATATAGCCCATCCTGAAACATCTAATGCCAGCTTTCTTGTTATCTGTTATCATTTTTTGGCTTTTGAATTATTTCACTAATAAGAATAATTGGCTTCTTTTGTAACTAAAAACATGATAGTTGGAATATAGTTACTTTGAGTATTTCCCTGAAATTCAATGCAATTATCATTTTGCTTGATACTTTGTTGAGTGTTATGCCTTGGTAGTGGAGTGGTCATGCTTAATTTCTTTGCTGTTGTATCTTTGCTGTGAAATATGATACGCTAGATTATACATTATTATTAACCCAAGTGTACATAAATGCATCTATAATAGGTCTTTCACTCAAAACTTTAGTCTTGGATCAATTATATATCTCTGAGCATGACTCATATTTTTTTTTTAATGTACAGTTAATTTTCTTCATATATCCAATTGCTTGACATCATTAATAAACTTACTGTTTCATTTCCATCCTTACCATACAGCAAGGCAACGAGTCTAGATGGAACGTTTGCACCAGCATGGATAGGCTATGGGAATGCTTATGCTGCTAAAGAAGAGGGTGATCAAGCAATGTCGGCTTACCGCACTGCAGCTCGTTTATTTCCCGGGTAACATATCAACTTCTGCATTAGAATATTTTGATTCAGATATGGTTGAGTTGTTTCTTCTGCCCATATCTGCAAAACTAATTTCTCAGTGTGAACATAAATTGTATCCTAGTGTATATGTAGCAATAATATATATATATATATATCGTACAGATTTTGGACTCTGTAGTACCATAGCTGTGTAGATCAGTGATATCATTGCCTGCTTCCTCAAATTCTCTTTCCTTTCATCCCTTGCTTGATGAGGTGTTTTGTAGTTGTTAAGTGAAAAAATGAAGACTTGTTTGTTGCTCTTCCTGGGGTAATTACAAAGGAAATGAAACTGAATGTGCTAACAACCACTAATGATTTGTAAACATTTTGTAAAACAGTTTCTAGAGACAATGATGGTTATCAAAGGACTCAAATATTGTTTTCTCTTACGTTTATTGATTCAAAAACCTGCTGATAATGTTTCTTCCTTTATGTTTTCTTCTTCTTCTTTATGTTCCTAAACATTTTCCTTCATTTGTGAACTACTTTTTAAAAATGCCATTTTTTATGACATATTTATATCAAATTATATGGGTTCCCGTGACTTATTTTGTGGATTGAAGCTACAATATCAAGGGAGTTCTTTACATGTTTGTGGAACCTTACTTAGGAGAGCACGTCAAACCTTGTGCTAGGTTTCTCATTTTCCCCCCTTTGATACATGGAAAAATCTTTATCCAAATTCTTCTGTGGTTAATAACTCTAAAGAAGGACCTTTAGGTAGACAGTATAGAGACCTATAATCAAAGCCATCAGTGACATGCACTAATTTCTTGTCATCCTGCATGACTGTCATGTGCTGTGAAGTCATGACTGGGTGCATCAATTTGGGGAAAAATTGAATAGGTCAAGAGGTAAGCCAAGAAGATAAATGTAAAGAAAATGTAACCTGTAGCTGTATCATGCAATCAATCAAGCTTCATTTAACTGGCACTGGCTTTCATTTAAGAGGGCCCTCAGCCCTTGTGACCTGTGGAAGGGCAAGAGCTCCCAGATTGTGGGGTTGAATCTTGAAATTAGAAAAATGTGAAGTTTGACTCTTCATTTGTAAAAGAAGAGGCCTGAGATTGATTTATTTTGGGGGGGGGATTCTTTTATTTAGCCTTGAGTCCTTTGCATGAATCTTACATTTTTACCTCTGTTGTTTTAAAAGACTTTTTCAAGATGGGACTTATAATTTGATTAAATTACTCTGAACTTTGCCTCGTTTGAGTCATTGCCTCCACCAAATAACAAAAAACTACATTTTTTATTTCCTAACTTACGATTATGATTAATATATGAGATGCACTCTTGCATGTGTTGTGTCCATGAGTGTTTCATTTTCTAAGTAAGTATGAAATCTTCTTATTATGCATGAATTGTTCTTTTACAGGTTAAATCTTGATATTCTCTTATTCCAGGTGCCATTTGCCAACTCTTTACATTGGAATGGAATGCATGCGAACCCACAGCTATAAGCTTGCTGAGCAGGTGCCTATTACTAAACATATTGTCAAGTATAGTTGGGTCTAGATCTGGGTTAAGAAGATGAGGGAGTTTCGGAAGCTGCTAGGGAGATTCTGGGGAAGTGGTGGGGAGCTAATAGAGAAAGGGAAATAAATAAATGTTTCTTAGTATAGAAGCCATAACCTGAAACTTTTAGTCTAACATGCCACTTGGAGATTCTCCCATCATAGGTCTGAATAATACTTCACATACATTTATTAGATTGGTTTATATATAGATAACTTAGTAACAGACAGTATGTGGACAACTAATCATCCCTCTGGATGATGGAGAACTCATCACAATTAGATAAACTAACTCATAGACATGTAAGTTACTGTCTCTTATCAAACTACTTGTTGATAGAATCATTGTCGAGCTTCTGTCATTTCTTCCTCCTACTGGATGTGAGAATAGGAATTGCGTGTACAGCAGGACTCCTACCATAGTCCCTATAAGGAGAAACCTGAAAAATGTGTACTTATCATTCATAAATCATTGTATGATCATATCAATGTTCGTGTTGCTTGCAGAAATAACAAAATAAGCAATGTTTAAGCGGGATCTTTTTTCTTTTTCACTTTTCAAGTCCATTACGCTGTTTGGAAATTAAATGTTAATCATGCTGTTTTTTGTTGGATTTGAGATAACTGATTGCCTCATTATACAGCACCCCTTTTTAACAAAGAATAGCACTCTCCTTTAGTGAACTATGCAAATTATGCATTATTCATATGTTTTTCATATATTTGCGCTTATACTTATTAGCATATGTTTCTTCAGTTCTTTTTGCAGGCTAAGGCGATTTGCCCCTCAGATCCACTTGTATTTAATGAACTTGGAGTTGTTGCCTACCATATGCAAGAGTAAGAATATTTGTCAGCCTTATAATCACGTCACCAAAATTAAATCTATTTTCCTTCAATAAACCATATTATAAGTTTACATTCTCCCCTTTGAACCCGTCCTCCCTTGAGGTGTTATGCAATTCATGTGATCCATAGATAGTTGGATGTTATGACAGTAACCAAAATGGGGATGTGATAAACCGAGTTAGCATAGAAACTTTGACCAAGTTTTAAACAGCATACTATTTGCTTAAACTGAACTTCTGCAATATACAAGTGCTGAGTATGCAAACTTTTTGGTTAAACAGATGGATATTGGGGTGGAAGTGCTAGTGCCAATTCATTTGTATTTTGAGGACCTGTGTATTTTTTTCGTAGTTTGAAAATAACTGTAGTTCATAAACCTAATGAGTTAAAGCTTGAGAACGTTTGGCAGCTGAGATCTGGATGTAAAAATTCTTGATACCCTTGATTTTTGTTATATATGGATCTTGGCACTCATAATTTCTTCACACATGACTCCGATGTTCCAATTATATATGCTGATACAGGGTTGCCCAGTACTAGTAAAGTCAGCATTTTCTTTTTAAGTTTCATGCAACATTTGAATGATTCTGACATGCATATTTGTTATCCATCATTCAGGTATAACAAAGCAGTATGGTGGTTTGAGAAAACATTAGCCCTCATCCCATCCTCATTAAGTGAAATGTGGGAACCAACCGTAGTTAACCTTGCCCATGCCTACAGGAAGTTGAAGTAAGTGTATAAATTTATCTCTGTGGTCATTTTACTTCAACTTTTCTTGTCTTGTTCACAAGTTTCTGGATGTTTGATAGTTTTTAGCTTACAATGGTATTTTGCGAACTACAAATCTTGTCATTCTTATGTTCTTCACTGTTAGGATTAACTCAGGTGACTATCGTGGTGGCAATCAACCCTGCTCATTGCAAGATTTTTCTTGTGTCCATAATTTTTCAGTATCTTATAAGGCATTTTTTTTGTTTATAATGTTGTCCTCAATTTCAGTAGGTCTGGATTCCCTTGGTCATGCCAGGCATTTTAATTTGATGGGAAGTTGTATATCTTCTCATTAGATATTATCAACTGTGTTGATCAGCTTTTTTATTTATAATTATGCCACTTAATTATTGATTATCACTATTCACTGGTGGAGTTCAGCATCTCCGATCCTGATTGCTTGAATCACTGTCACAGGATGTATGATGAAGCAATTTCATACTACGAGAAAGCACTTGCATTATCAACAAGAAGTCTGAGCACGTATGCTGGTCTAGCATATGCATACCACTTGCAGGTATCTAAAACTCTTCCCCATTATAGGGGTTTTTTCCTATGAAGTTAATGAGATAATGAACTATTAACATTCTTAATGCAATGAACATTAGAAGTTATTAGTTATTAGATATTTCATGTACGCTTAGGAGGAGTTGATGACTCGGTGATCACTATACAACAACAACAACAACAACAAGCCTTTATCCCACTAGGTGGGGTCGGCTACATGGATTGCAAGACGCCATTGTGCTCTATCATTTATTAAGCTTTTAGAAATATTATTAATTAAGAGATCACGTTCAACAACTTCCAAGAGTGTTCTCTTAGGCCTTCCTCTACCTCTCTTAATCGGACTCAAAGTTATATGTTCCACTCTTCTCACCGGTGCCTCCCTTGGTCTTCTTTGTACATGCCCAAACCATCTCAACCGATTTTCTACCATTTTTTCCTCAATAGGTGCCACCCTCACTTTTTCACGTATGTGCTCATTTCGAATTTTATCTTACGTGTATGTCCGCACATCCATCGTAACATTCTCATCTCTGCTATGGAAAATGCGTGTAAAAAGCTAGAACCTTTGTTGTTTAGAGTCAAGGTATTGGCAGTAAGCTTTGGCTTTATTGTCACGTCCTAAGCACTTCAATTTTCTTTATTCTCAAAATATGTTTTTCACCCTTCTCTTTCCAAATTTTTTCTCCTAATGTTCTGTTAATTTGAGGTTTGTTGTTGTAATCATTGCAGGATGACTTCACTACGGCTATTACTTATTATCACAAAGTAAGTGTCTTTCTCTCTCTGTCTCTCTCTCTTCATATTAAATATATGTTCGGTTTTCTGTATAACGTGATATATTAAAAAGCATTTTTATGTGGTAATTTTATTCTCAATATAGTGCTGGTAATTTACTAGAAGCATATGAACTGTTCTTAACATGGTTGGCTGATCTGGCAATTGATTACTTCTTATCTTCATGGCATGATCATTTGTTTGATTGCTCAACTGCCTTACGAATTATCATTTTCTTGGTTTGAAAAATCAGGCTTTGTGGCTTAAACCAGATGACCCATTCTGCACAGAAATGTTAAGTTGGGCTTTAATTGACGAAAGCCGGTGTGGGATGCCATCGATTCCTTAGTTGATCGAATTTAGGTGAACTCTGATTTTGAGTTTGAGGGGGTAACTATATTCACCTCTTTACATGCGCGCGCGCGCGCGCCTCAACATGCATTAATGTCGAGTTAATGCATTGCAATTCTTATATCTTCTATTTTAAGTTATAGTTGAGGTAATTTTTTTTTTTGGGGGATAAAAATAGTAGAGGTAATATTATCATGTGGATATTTTGCAATATAGCCTGTTTGTAATTGATAGGTTTTGCTCTTATAATGGTCTTAATCTGAGCTGTAAGTAACTTGGTTTTTTTCCTCCAGACTGTTAGCCTGTTCCCCTTCCCTTGTATAATTTTTTTTAACTATTTTTTTGAAATTTTCCTCATTGCATTATTTCCTATTTTAATGAAGCCTTGTGGATATTTTTGGACGTTTCCTTGGGGACTTATCGGGGAAATCGAATGTAACGAATCAAACACTATTTACGTTTACTTCTACCAAGTGCATAGCATCCTCTAAACCCTGCAAAATATGCAGTTTGATCACAGAAACGAGGACCAAATAATAAGCAATAAACCCTATTTCACAATAATTACTGAAGAGATTTAAACGAGTGTGTGAAATGTAAATCTCCAAGTTTCTGGGTGCTCGGTGAGCCGCTCTAGTGTTTGGCATGGAGGATTAGTCCCAAGGGTCTGGAAGTATGTGATCGAGACACTTCTAAAGGCATTGTTCATCAAGGGCAATTCATCACATTCAAAATACATGCCTTTTTAAAAATAATACTGAGAGTAACATTTTTTAAATTACAAATGTGCAGTAATTGCACACTATTTTAATATTATATTTAAGGTGATGAAAAATTGAAACCATAAAAAGATGTGAAATCAACTTAATTACTTGTGATGTCTGAAGAAAAATCTTACACAATTAGTATTTATATAAGAAAATATTTGAAAAGTTACTTCTAACTTCCAAGTCTCCCTGACACAATTAATCATCAGTCTCTTGAACTTTTGAAAATACGTTGTAGTCATATAATCCTTAATTGTAAAATTTTGACGTACGTATGCAAAAATTTTGAATCTACGTTCATAAATACGCTCTTGGAGTTGACAACTTCATTATGAGAAAGTAATAACTGCTCTTAAGAAAACTACAATTTGGTTTAAATGTGTAGCTGTCGAAGCTTATTTCATATACATATACATATACAAATATATATATATATATATATATACATATATATATATATATATGTGTGTGTAAAATATAAAACCAGGAGGTTCGAAACCCCAATGTTCAATTCTCACCACAAGTCACTTTGAAATATTGACGTTGTCGGGGCTCTGGCCTCTGACTAGGATCGTCTGTAGTAGCAGTTCCGATGCCGACTACATAGCAAACTATCTACCTTGCATAGCAAATAAGGTTAGTATTGTCTGAAATTCTAAGCTTTCTGGAGTGAATTCAGTTTATTGAAATTAGCCATTAAAAGACTAAACCAATCCTAAATTGACAAAAATCTTAAGCAAACATTTTTTTCAGACTCATGCTTAAATGCCTAATTAATTTATCGTCATAGTACCAATTGTATACGAAAATCTTCCATAACTCAGTCCTTCTTTCCCCTGTGAATATCAACAAGATATCTATTCAAACGTTGGCCAAATGTCTTTGTTGAAAATGACTCAAGGACATGCCTCCTAGCTTCCCTGCCCATTTTCTCAGCATCCTGGGGATCTCGAATGAGTTGGAACATTGCTTGAGAAAACTCTCGTGGAGTAGGATCACAAAGGAACCCTGTCACACCACTCTTGATTGACTCAACAGGTCCACCACTATTGCAAGCAATAACTGGTTTATAAGCTGCCATTGCCTCCAATGGAACGATGCCAAAGTGCTCATCCTGCATTAAAGAGCTACATGTAAAACTTTGTTCAGCTAATTCCAACTGGTATTTGGAAAAAATAGAAGGTTTCGCGCACCTTTGGAGTGTAAAGGACACACAGGCATTCTGAAAGAAGAGCATTCCTTTCAGCTGTTGAGCAAGATGTGATGAACCTTATCCGATTTGATACACCTTCCCTTTCTGCCAAGTTTTTTAGCTCTTCCAAGTACTCTACATTCTCCTTCAATCGTTTGTCAAAGCCTCCTGGAACAAGAAACGACAACAGATTTCACACTTGTGCATATACACGTGTGCATGCACAGACACACGCAGAGAAGAGAAACAAAAAGAAATTTGAATGGTTGACATTCAACACTCATTTATACTGTCAAGAAATGTTATAGTTATCCCTTGAATAAGTCAAATCTTCCCTCTAACTCTATACATAAAAAATAAAATAAAAAAAAGGTTAGTAGCACATAACTTTCTTGGTCGCCAATATTTCTTTTTTGAGCAAAATGGGACCTAAATTTCAATCAAGAAAAGTCTAATACAAACAAGAGCTCAAAGCTAACCTAAAACCTTTCAGCATGCAATGCCTGTAAATTAGAGGTAGTGGATGATCAGTGCTAAAATTCCTACTGCTATTGTAGCCTAAAGTAACAAGATTAGACAAATGAGGGTTAGGATCATAATGATCAAACATGAGGCAAAAATTACAGTAACTGAACAACAGAAGTTTGGTTGCTTCAATGATGTCATGGTAGGGCTGTTCTTCATTGTTATCCCTAGTTAAAAGATTATAGCGGCCAGCACTTTTGTTAGCACATTGACAGTATTCAGTCCCTTCTCTCACCAATATTTCCATGCCCACCAACCTTCCCTTTTACTATTCAAACTAGAGCGCTGGAAACTTCGTATCTCATAGAGTATGGTATTAATACAGTAGCATAGCAATTGCTTTATTATTTTTCTGAGGGCAGTGTACTTTCTATGTCAATTATCAAGAAGTCCAACTTGAAACCTTCTCCGATATTACCCCAGAATCCAGATCACAGACTTGATTGTGAAATCATTACACCTCCATGTCACAAAAGACAATTCCAGACACCACCATTGTGCACGCTACACAACATCATAGTAGAAGATAACAGCAACACAGTAGGTTAAGTTGTGAAACAAAACAATGCATCTAACATCACTAAAATGTAGATCAATTTATCCTTGTGAATACGAAGACAAAAGTAGAAGATGCTCACCAACAACAGTCAAGGAAGCATTAGATGCATCCCGACTCTGAAGGACATCTCCTTCAAAGGTTTGGAGCATAGAAAAAGCTGATATTGCTAATTCTATGTTCTTCTTCCTTTCAAAGCGATTAATGGAAAGAAAATTGAACCTACATCAGAAGAAAAATACAAACATCAGCCCACAGAACTTGGTATGGAGTCATATAATTGGTTTCATGCAGAATTTTAAGAAGCTTGCTACAATGAGGGGTAGCTAAACAGCTACAAACGTGTTTTTTACTTAAAGGAATTGGGTTCTTTGAACTGATCCACATTGACTGCTGGGTATAAAACAGCTGGCTGAATTCCTCGACCATCCAGATGCTTGAAAGTATTTGCAAAAGTAGATGCAGTAAATTTGCTGTTAACAAGTATCAAATCAGCCATCCCTACAAGTTGGCAAAACTAGATCAAATGAGTGATTCACTTTATATGATGGGAAAAATTTCAAAGAAACAGAACAGAGACACAATAAAGTCCAACCAGTTGTTATTTCTTCTATATAGTCTATTGGCTTCCTATACATCCTCCTGAGGAAGGTTGTATGTTGAGCCAGCAACAAGTCTGGAAAATGACAATAGAATACCACCTATCGAGAAAATTCAACAAATGAAGCCATTCTCGTGATGTTCAAACATAATTTTAAATATATCAGATTGTAACTACCTTTGCAGACTTTTTAAGTTTCAAGATTGGAATAACTACAGAGACCTGATCTGCCAGTATAACATCAAATGATGGCCACAAGAGAAGAACACAAAGAGCAACAAAGAGACACCTGAGGTACGTGCATAATGCATGAAGCCGGTAGAAGATATGCCGAGGAATAAAAGATCCGTACACAGTAACTGGAAAGGTACCTGGACATTTATGTATCAAACTAATTGTTAAAACACTATTAGGGGTTTCAACTAATCAATCCGGATCAAAAAATAAGGAGGGCGATTACAAAGGAAATATAAAGAATAGAAGTACTACACAAGCACAAAGGGTGAGAGAGATTTACCAGCAGTTGTCTCCTCAAAGCATCTATTTTTATCATGATGAGCAGTAAAAATATGAACATTATGGCCATGGGAAGCGAGCTCAACAGCAGCATCCACTATTAATCTTTCAGCTCCACCTACAAAGCATGACAATATATCCGTAACAACATTAAAAGGAGGTAGTCCTCACAACATCTAGTTTAAAGCAGAAAGTAATGAATTATTAAGGATGAAATGGTAACAATAAATCTAAAAGCAAGGAAACAGTATAATGCCAACAATCTTGTGCGCAATGTGTTTAAAAGGAACCAGGCCTAAAAATTAATAGAGCATTTAGTAGAGATGTGTACTTGGGTGTAGAAGACCAAGAACCATTTAATTCTATTGTTAAAACATTCTGCTTTTAAAGAGCTCACACACTTCAGAGGGAGAAAGAAAAAGGATGACCTAAAAGAGTTTAACATAAAACATGTTAGGCTGAATCAAATAAGTTGGCATTTCAGTTAGCACCCTCGTCATCATATTATCAGTCTGACAATCACACAATCGACTTTGCAGCCACTACGAATGGTGGTCAACAGTGCCTTATCGCTCATTACCAAAACAAATCTCAACCTCCAATCTGAGAACGTTGTAACATAGAAATTAGCATATATATGATTACCTATGCCGAGATCTGGGTGGATTACAGCGATGTTCATCTTCGAGCTTTTTTCTCTTGCCATCACAGGGACAAGCCAACAAATTTATAGCAAACACATTCGTTGGAGATGACGCATAGTCTATTCTGCAGCAAATGAATATCAAAAAGAAAAGAAGAACAGAGAGAGAGGCAAATGAATAAGACAGAGAGACGGGGGAAAGATATGGACGTCGTGGATAAGCGAGGATGATAGAACTACCAAAAAAATAAAAAACCAGGCAAATATTGCCGGGTCGCGACGGTGCCCTCGTAGGCGATTAGTCAACGATGACCCGACTGCGTTAAGTCAGCAAGAGGAGAAGAGAAAAGACGGTGACACGAAGGCGATGGAGACCGATTTTTCTGAGATGATCAGAATTCTGATACCTGGAGAGGGGAAAACGGCGTCGTCTTTGCCCACCCAACGGCAAATATACCATGAGCGTCACTCGGAGGGGAATGCTTTCGACGGGCAGAGCCACTGCATGCTTCTTTCGAAGAGGCTGGGCCAACAAAAATATGGGCCGGATTTTTCAGCCCAGCCCAAAAAAATGACTGCAGAGAATTACAATATTTGATCCATTTAGACAGAGACTGCTGAGTGGCAAGAGTCCAGACTCCCCAGAACGCCACCAAACAATTAAACTAACCAAAACGAAGCTCATTCCTGAACAACTAGAAAATAACAATGAATGCAATTGATTTCACGATAACAAAGAGGAAGAATAAAGAGGAACAGAGATGGAAGAGCATCCAAAATGGGGAGCAATAGCGAAAAACCTTACCAGGAGAAATTGAAGAATGAGAGAACTAAAATGGCGCGGCAACTAACAGACCGCGAAAGAAGGAAAGACTGACTCAACAGGGGACGGTGGAGAGGAGTCACAGTTCGTCGGACATGTTCGTGCGGTGGCAGCAGTTGGATCTAGAGAACTCGTGTCGCGTGAGAAGACGCTCACGTTGGGGAGATTGTTCCGTCGAGGCTTGAGGGATTTCACGAATTTTGTAACTGCCCAAACCTTCATGGTTAATGGTTAGAGAATCAGGCATGAACCAAATTCAAACGCGAAAATGATATCTAAGTTCCCATACAGTCATTTAATGCGGATAAAGTCTCAAGAGATTCTCAAATGCCAACAAAATCCCATTCTCCCATGGATTCTGAAATGATTAAAAAACCAAAAACGCAATTATTTCAAAACAGACAAAAAAATTTACATAACTAAATTTGACCTTACTATCTCCGGCTAGTTCAGATAAAGCTGAAAATAAAAATCAGGCTTAGAGGTCATGTTTAAATGAAAATTCAAGCTTTAAAAATAATTTTTTAAAATAATCGAGTTTGAGGGCTTAGTCCTGATAAGCTCTGTAAAAAAGGCTCAGGTTCAACCGGCTCTTCAAACCCTATTATATTATTATTATTATTATTTTTGATGGAACACGTGTTTGAAACCAATAACCTACTCACCTGATCCTATATGCATTATATTATTGTTAATTTTAATTTATTCTAAAATTAATTTAATATAATTTAATAAATATCAGTGTATAGTATAAAATTTTTAATATTTTTATTTTTCTATATTTATTACATTTGTACATTTATAAAAAATGAACTATTTTTTAATCAAGATTTAAATTTTATTATTAGATTTCTAAATGTGTGTTTTTTAATTTCTAAAAAAAATATGAGGATTTTATTTTTTTTAATTTCAAAATATTTTAATTAGTTTATAATATTTAATTTTTTTATTTTTAAAAAAGGACTCATGGGCCTGACTCTAAACCCTTCATATAAAGACTGAGCTTGAAAAATAGGGCTCAAAATGAAAAACTTGATTTTAGAACTCAGGCCCTTAAGAGACGAGCTCATAAGGGTTGGGCCCTTAAAAGTCGGGCCTGCCGGCATTCCCAACTCTAAGTTTGAATACTCAAGTTATTAGATATTATTTTAATTTATTTTTTAGATAATTTTAACTTCTATTTTTAAAAAATTAATATTTAAATTTTTATCTTATTTTATTTTTATAATAAAATAATAATAATTTGAATATTATAGCAAAGCTTGAATTTTTTTGAGTTTATTTTAGCAGACTGAATAAACTCGTAATAAAGAAAATTTTCAAAATTTTTAACTCAACTCTAAGATTTTTCAAATATATTTGAATTGACACGTCTAATTTGGCTTAAATTAACACATCTAAGTGAGTGTTTGTATATATAAGTCTGAATATTAGTAGGGTTAAGAGCAAAATGAACCCTAAAATATTGCACGAAAAATGTTATGAACCTTAAATTCTTAAAATATATAAAACGAATTCTAAACTTTTAAATTCATAATAAAATGAACCATGATCATTAATTTTTCTAACGCCGTAACTGTTCATTTTATTAAAGGTCACAGATCTTAAATTATTACTCAAATAGTGTCCTTGATTATAAACTTTGAAATTTCAAGCAAATTATCCTCAACGTTTACACATAGAATATCGACTATCATGTAAACTAAATTAGTTTTAGCATGGCACGTTATGATGAATGACCCATAATTTTATAAAATGATCGCTATTGCCCTCCTTTGTTGCAATTTTTTCTAAACGATTGGTATCTCATGCTTTTGTATGTTCTATAATTCTAATTTATTCTTATTTTAAATAATATTTATTTATTTAATGGCGAAAATTTAAAATCTTATTTTTTAACAAATAAGAAATTTAATATGTAAAGTTATGATTTACTGTTTTATTATTGTAAATATAAAAAAAATTATGAATATTTAAACAAAACTTGTGAATTATTTATCAATAAGGACAATTTAATAATTTATATAAATTCATTAATGATAACAAAAATTTTAAAAAATTTATGAGAATTATGATATTTTGAGAGATTAAATTATTATTTATATATTTTAGAGAAATTTTATTCATTTTGTTTAAAAATTTTAATTTTATTTTTTTCATAAATAATTACATTATTATACTTTTTATCAATTCCCGTAGTTGTTACTGGCCCAGAAAAAAAAAAAAAAAAAAAAAAAAAAACAATTGCGTAGTTGTTAATTGAGTTGTTAATAATATGTGGCTAATAAAAGACTCTAACATTGTTTTATATCTTCAAATAATTAGAACTAAATTGATAATTAAAATAAATATAAAATATTAAATTAATAAAATTAAATTTAAAAGATTAAATTATTAACTAAAACAGATTTAAGAGAATGCAATAGTATTAATTATTGTTCGAGGAAAAATTGTAAACAAACGCGCATGCGATCTCATTGAATTTTCTCTTTTGTTGACAATGATCTCATTGATTTGTTTCCTCGCCAGGCTGTCATTTTATCATTACCGCACCACACCGTTTGGGTTTGTATGATTCAATCTCAAATCTCAACCCCAATGAATTGAGTTATTTCTAACTTCTATTCTCCTTTTCCCAGTTGTAACTTTCTCTGTGTAAATCCCACCTCTCCCCCTCTTTCTCTCTCTGTCTCTCTCTCATGAGAGTTCGGAGCCCTAAGCTATGTCTCTGAGAAGCCTTTTTAGCTCTCGGAAATTCTGTAGATCCTTCAAGGAGGTTAGGGCGATCGAGGAAGATGAGCGGAAGGGGCGGCTTGCCGGTGATTCCGACTACCGCGGTGACTCCACGGACTCTCCGCCCTACGGCGATTCGTGGGCCACTATGCTGCCGGAGCTTCTCGGGGAGATCCTTTCTCGTGTTGAGGCCTCCGAGGATCAGTGGCCCAACCGCCGAAACGTCGTTGCTTGCGCCTGCGTGTGCAAGCGGTGGAGGGATATCACTAAGGAGATCGTGCGCTTCCCTTCGCGCAACGGCGGCAGAATTACCTTTCCCTTGCCTTAAGCCTTGGAATTTGATTCCTCTTTTCTTAGTTATTGGTTTATTTGAAGGGCGTATATGATCCCGTGGAACTTGCTCTGGTTTTCTGTGAGTGTGATCCGTGGGACTGGAGAAATGATTGATACTTGGTCGAGCTTGGGTGGTGCCCTGCATTTCATTTCAATTGTCAAGTGATTTGAATATTCTTTGATTTTTTGCTGCATCCTTAATTTATCTCTTAATTCACATTATCCAATTGAAATGTTAGCTTGGGGGTCTCTATTTTGAATAATATTTTTCTGTGAGGATCAGCATTGATTCTCGAGCCGCGGGAAATCTAGCAATATCGTCTGGATAGTTCGATAAAGGAAATCGAATTGTGAGTCCATTGATTAACATTTCTGGGTACTATGGAACTAACTTTAGTTTGTGAGATGTTTTCTTAGATGTGACGTGTCATCTTTACACATAAGTGGTTGGGTTTCATGTAAGTTTAACCGGAAGAAATATTTGCCGAATTCATTTTTCCTGATTTGCGTTACTTTGTTATCATTTCGTATCCCTTGTTGGAATCAGTCATTTCATTTATGCTTTTGGCTAATGATGCTTTATTTGTCTAAGGACAGTAATACATTTGATATTTGTTTACTTCAAACGATACAGCGTTTCACTATTGTTTGTGAGCATTTTGTTTGTTTGGTAACTTTCTTCTTGCACTGAACTCATATTAAATTAAGGCATGGAGTCAACAATTCTGTAACATTTCTTTGACTTGCAGCCTGGACCATGTGACTCACCCCACCAATGTATTATAAAGAGGAACAAGAAGACTTCGACATTTTACCTATATCTTGCCCTTATTCCTCCATGTAAGTAAGTATTGGTAGAAGGCTTTTTTCCCCCTTCCATATAAATATTCAATAATGACTTCTTCATTGGTCTGCTTCACCCTTTCTCCAGGGCAGCATGTTGACTGAGTAATGTCTTCTGTATGTGTGAAAGCTAGAAGTGGGCGGTATCTAATTTGTGAATTGTATGACTGTAGCCATCCTAATTTGACTCAATATGATTTAACTTTGACACAAGTGAAGAATATTTTTCAAATGACATGACACTGCTTTCAATTGACCGGATTCAGTATTGGATGACCGACTATGGTCAACAATAATGGTATGCGACGTGCAAAAGTTGTAGATTCTACTTCATGTTTTTTGCCTTGAATTTCATTTGTTTGAGCATACTTATTTTGATATTAGAAGAAGAAATATTATTTTATTTTGGTATACTTATTATGTTGAGTATACTTGTTCTACAATTTGAATGCTTATTTGTTTGAATTATTCATGATATGTGTTTTCATTCTTTCTGATTCCTGTGTTCCTTCCTCTAATACAGTTAATTAGAAATTATCTTTTTACTTTGTTTTAATGAAGTTTGCTTCTTACTCCCCAAAAAAAAAAAAATAATAATTAGAAATGTCTGCTCATTTTATTGTCTCCTTTCCTCTCTCTTGTCAGCATTCACAGATACGGGTAAGTTTCTCTTGGCAGCTAAGAGATATAGACGTGGTTCTGGTATCGAATATATACTTTCACTTGATGCTGATGACATATCGCAAGGAAGTAATGCCTATGTTGGAAAGTTAAGGTAAACATTCTTTTGGTGTAAACAAAACACTCCCTTGTAATAAAGACATTAAGATACGGGAAAATAAGTTTGAGTAAGATGCGATGTGACATCTTTATTGT